GGTGGGATGTTCAGTTGCAAAGAGAGGCAGATTCCATTTGCAGCCCAAAGAGGGACTGGAAGAGAAGACTGAGTTAGAGGTGAAAGAATTTTAACTGTGAAAATGAGAGGCTATTAAGAGGAAGCTCTGCACACAAGCACCCTGTTAGGAGAGGGTGTTGGGGGGCTGCCCTTCTGGGGGCACTTGTGTCACTACCTGGGCCATGGTGCCACGGCAGGCTTACCCTAGGCTTGGATAGCTTGCGTGCTCAGAAAGACACTGACATGAGGACCGGCCATGGCCCAGGCCTCACCGACTTGCTCCGGAACCTCTGCCTCCCCTGTCAGGCGGTGTGGGGGCCCAGTGGATTCCTCTGAACGCCACGCCTCAGTGAGGCTGTGGCGCTCACCGGGCGTGAGCCGTTGTGTCACTGGCGTCTCCTCTCGCGGTGGGGCTAGGTGGCCCTTTGCTTCCTCTGCTGAGGAGCTGGCAGAGGGAGAGCCGAGCCTTCTCGCTCGCAGGGCTGGGCTTTGTCCATGGCGCGCTCTGCTCCCCGGCCTGGTCCTTCTGGGAGCCTGCCAGTAGTTCCGGGCACTCGGGATGTACGGAAGTCTTTTGCATCCATTAAATCCTTTCAGCCACGTCCACTCCTTAGCAGTTTCATCTACTTTATGTCAGGCCACTTTCATGGCATCTGGATACAAAGACAAAACTTGGTTTCTGCCTCTGAGAAACTCAGTTCATGGAGGGAGAGCTATGTGACTGTAAACTAACACTTACATTGCAGTGAGACCCCAGGCCTGGCTCAGGGCCTGAGTTTGAATCTGCAGTGTTGAAGGGCCACTGTCGGTTGCCGTGGAAGCGCAGAGGCAAGGCCAGGAAGGCTGCCTGAGGGAGCTTAGGTGGTTCCTCAGAAGGGCCGGCACTCGGCGCGGAGGTGAGTGCGGTTTGCCAGGTGTGAAGGGCAGAGTCCCTCGGAGGCAGGGGACAGCAGATGCCTTGCACAGAGAGGCCGAAGCGCGCATAGTGCCCTTGGGGAGCAAATGGAGTGGCTGTTGACCGAGGCCCGCAGCTGGCACAAAAGTGCTCCAGGTGCCCTCTGTGGAGGTCAGGCGTCGTCTGTATGGTGGAAGACACAGAGTAGGCTACTTCTGTCCTGTAAGTGACTCATACCAAATCCAGAAGCCATCCTGTACAGCTCAGCAGAACAGCCTGGTCATTATGGGACTGCAGGGGCTGAGGCCCGGCGTACACCCCGGGGAAAAGGCAATCTCAGTGATTTTATTTGATTTACATTTCATACTGATTTGAATCTCATTTTGCTGAGTTATTTTATTCCCAGTATGACTCTAATGCTAAACTAAAAACATGGGGAAAGGGACATCATTCGAAAGAGGACATAGCTCTTTCCTGCAAAGAGTTCTTCACTCACGCGGGCACCCATTTGATGATCCATTCCTCAGTCTGAGGCGCCCAGTTCAGCGCTGCCTACGGGAGGACAAGGCTCGTCCTGAAGAGGCACGGCACTGACACAGTGCGGTAGGATCATTACTGACGGGTCTGTTTACCTGTCTGATGGTCTCCTAAAGGAGGCCTCATGCTATGCAAGCTTGTTTTTATACCAACGGTGGTGCGGCAGAGACCCAAGGGTAGTTGGAGGTGTACAGCTATGCCTCTTGCATGTCAGCTCTCCGTCTGCCCTGGGTGACAGGACCTGGGAGTGGATGAGACCGACTGTCATTCACCCACGGTGCCCTTTGGAGAAAGGCCACGGGGGGAGAAGGTGCGGCAAATGGGCTGTGAAGTTTGCATGCGCTGCCCACTGTTAAACAGATCGCGTCTAATGAAGTGTCCAAGGCTCAGGCCGTATCAGCCTAATCCTCGGTGGCGGTTCATCCCTCAACTGCCAGAAAACACTGCCCTTGGGCCCTCTGTGGCCACTCTGGCCGCCTGGTCTTAATAAACCAAGCGAGGTGCCTGGTCTTAATAAACCAAGACAGTGTGTAATCTGACATGCAAATGTAGGTCATTGCATATGTAAATGTGTGATTACAAACCCGCATGCCAAAACACATTAGTGAGACTCGCTCTCAGCATGTGGCTGTCACCCTGCCTTAGCGGTTCCCGCCGATGCTTGTCAGTCACCGTGCAGACAGAAGATGGTCCCCGGTCAGGTCAGGAATCCGGACTGTGTTGCTGCGCCCCTGTGCTGCGGCTCTGTGATGGCAGGTGCCCCTCGGGAGGAAGAGCCGTCTGTACAGATAGGAGGGAGAGGGTTCTGTTTATTAGATGTCGCAGACTATCTTAGGATGTCAATTTTTTTTGAAAAAGATGTCTTGGAAAAGCATAGGCAAAAAAAAAAAAACTCTTCAAGTGAAACTTTTATTTGAAGTTAAACTTAAAAAAGTTGCTAATCCTGTTGAATGTATCCGAGCAGTGGTACCTGTTCAGTTTCTTTTGTTAAGTAGGTGCTATTGTGGCAGTGACACAAAAACATAAACTAATGGCTATAAAAATGAGTCTTCTTATAAATGAATGGCATGGCAAGTTGTTTCCCTTTGATACTTTTATTTTTCTTTTACTTTTTTATCATGGTATATATTTTTGTTCTCATTTCTGACATCTGTTTCTATGCCAAAGGTTTGTTTTTCATCAGAAGACTTGACATTGAAAATATCTCGATCACTGTGTGCTGGGTCATCCTGACTTTGTTTGGTAGCTGTGGTGGTACAGCGAAGGCTGTGCTTGGGAATCAGCTGGACATAGGTTTGCTCGACAGCATCCGCGTTATAGGATTGTCATGAGAATTGAATTAGATGGCATATGAAGTCCTAATAACAGGACCTGTTAACTTGTAGGTACCAGAATGGAACTTCTATTAGTGTAGTATTTGTTATTATTATTATCTATTCTAACAATTACTTAGAGTCTTATAGTTAAGAAATGAATTTGTGCAGTTTATTATATTCTAGTTATTTTACATGCCTTAAGGAATATTTTTGACAATATTTTGGACTTTCAGAATAAAGAAAAGCATTGCACACTAACAGAAATTATTGTTTCTTTAATCTCCTTTTGAGAAACACTGTATTTGAGTTACACTGAAACTTCAGTAGAATTTTAGGGCATTTGCTACTTGATAGATGTAGTGAAATCAGCAAGATAAAATGTGTTGGGGGTCAATGTAAAACACTGCCTACGTGTCCGAATAGCTGTTCTGGGGACACCAGCCTCCACAAAGGTCTGTTTGAAGCACTAGGGGTTCATGTTGAGTTGTGTGTTCGTGAGCCAGTGTTGTGTTTGTGTGGCACACTAGTCATTAGAGGGTGCAAAGCCAGGCCTCACAGGTGTGTCATGTTTACTCCATGCTGGCTCAGAGTAGAGAAGGTCCAGAAAGGATGTGAGCAGAGGCCAAAGGCTTGGACAGGTGTGCTTAACAGTAATCCAGGGATCTCAGAAAGGTCTGTGTGCATTTAGTCAAAAAAGAGAACGTGGGGGTGGACGACACTGTTACAGGCAGAGGGGCCAGGGGGGGGATTCGATTTTCACAGGGATATTGTGGCCTCAGCGCAGTGTCCCACCCTGGCAGGTACTCGTTACTGTTTGCCCTGGGACTGACCGAGGGATGGAGCGAGTCTATGACAGACTGTGACATGACAGACTAATGAGCTTAGGAGCTGAGACTGAGTAAAATTAGGGGTTGGATTTTGTCTAAGCGTAGGAATGGTCCTTGTGCACCCTTCCGTCCCCGTAGTGTCTGGCACAGTGCAATGAGGCGCCTCCTCTGTGTGCTTGGGTTAACTTCCAGAGCAGAAAACATTTCTGATTGATCTGTTTCCCCAGCAGCTAGCACAGTGCCCAGTACATAGTTAAGTATTAAAAAGTGTTAAGAAAAAGAAAATGCTTTTCCATAAACAACAAAAAACGTTGTTTAAAAGTGTAGTGATGCGCTAAGTGACAGAAGCCCCTCTGAGAAGCTGCTTAGGGTGTGGTTCCTGATCTGTGACTTTATGGAAAAGGTGAGCCTGTGGGGTCAGTGGAAAGGTCAGCAGTGCTGGGGTGGCAGGAGGGAGGGTGGATGGGTGAGCCCAGAGGGTTTTTAGGGCAGTGGCAGTACACTGTATGGCAGTGTAATGATGGATACTTCATACACGTTCGTCCAAACCCACAGAGGCACACCGCCATGCGGGGCCCCATGTAAGGCTGGGTCTTTGGGTGATAACGAGGTGTCCCTGTGGGCTTCTGAATTTTACAATTTTACAGTTAGCTTACGCAAATGTACCATCTGGTGCTGGATGTTGATAAGGGGGAGGCCGTGCATGTGTGGGAAAGCTCTCTACCTTCCTCTCTGTTTTGTTGTGAACCTAAAACTGCTCTAAAAAAAATAAAGACTTGAAAAAAAAAAGTAACAATGATGGTGGTGGTGAATTCCCTGCCACTGGAAATACTGTCAGCCAGTTCATTAAGTTTTTTTCATATATTAGTTGATAGGACAGAAGAAAGGAGAAAGAGAGTGTGCGTGCGTGCATGTGTGCACACTCGTGTATGTGTGTCTGTGTGTGTATGCATGTGTGTGGGGGCCACGTCAACTCAAAGATACTCAAAAAAGAAATATCAGCGAAGCACTGCATTGAATGGGACAAGTCCATGTTCTGTGAGCTGGGAGACCCTGAGAGCCCCTCTATCATACCTCAGAATCCTCCTCATGCCCAAGTCTTTGTTTGCTTTTGTTCTTAAGCCCTTTCTATCTCTCGTGCTGTATGTATTTTTCATGTTTACCTTGTTACTACTTTACTTCCCCACTAGGACATAAATTTTTTGAGTGCTAGGACTATTGTCTGTTGCGTTCGCTGCTGGATGCCAGTGGTGGAGCAGTGCCCGGCCATGAATAGTTCAGTGAATATTTGTTGAATGAATGGATGCCTGCAAGCTTATCATAGGTGTTACCTGCTTCTGTGAAACCAATCAATGATTGTGTGTGTATTGTGCGACTGAAACTTTTCTGACTTTTTTAATTACAGAAGGCCTTACGACCGGATATGGGCTATAATACACTAGCCAACTTTCGAATAGAAAAGAAAATTGGTCGCGGGCAATTTAGCGAAGTTTATAGAGCAGCCTGTCTCTTGGATGGAGTACCAGTAGCTTTAAAAAAAGTGCAGGTAAGATGATTTTCATTATATAAATCAATGTGACATTATACTATGTGAATAATAAACAGAGAAAAGTATATCCTAAGTGGGTAAGACAGTCTTAAGTTGAGAATGCTGGGAAGAATAAAAATTGTACTTTAAAAGCCTGAATTAAGTGTAGCTGAGAGTGAAAATTAATTTTTAGTTTTAATATTACTTCTAGGATTTAAAAGTGTGGCTGGTTTTGTTCACCCTGATGCAGTAGTGACTGTGACGATCGATCCCTGATGAGCTTTCACAGCTCTAGAGTTTAGGACACAGACGGGAGTCGTCACCGGGGCATGAACCAGGTGCTTCTCCGCCGAGGGTCTGCATCTCCAGGCCTCACGGAGGGAGAGCTGATGGCCTCACCTTAGTAACAGACGGTCGGGAGTCGGTGAGGGATTAAACCCGCGTAGAGAACCACGGGCAAGAGGTGAAGGGGAACGGAGTGAACTTCAGTGACTGGGGGAAACAGTGAGGTTGAATTAGAGGACTGATGTCCTATTCAACATGTCCATGTTCTATTTGTTCGTAAGTCAGCTCTGCCCTGCAGCCCTGGCCCTTGTCTTCTCAGGTTCCTGGGTCTTGCTCCTTTTACCAGTCCTGCCCCGACCCTGGTCAGTCCCCCCTGCGCTGCCCTGCAGCGCCCGCCTGCCCGAGTCCTATAGCGCCACCTGCCTCCCGATCCTGGAAGTCGAATTTCACTTGGCTTCTGGTCCAGAAGGCACCTGCCTTTCCGCCTCGGAGCATGCTTGACGTCGTACATCTTTACTTCCCTAATAAAGATAAGATAGCTTTTCTTCACACCTGCCATAAACGCCCCATTTACTGTCAGCCTTGATCTCTTTTCTCTGTAGGGACCTGTGAAATCTAGGTTCCCTCTTAATAATTTTTTAACTTTCTTAAGGATCAGTATATTTGAGCAGCCATTACAGAGAAGGGCCATTTTACTTACATTTTTCAGGAAATAGAAAATATCTGTGGAAGATTTTAATGGCATATATGTTAAATATAATGAGTAATGGAGATGCCCTCATATCTGTCACACAGCTTAAGAAATAAAACATTAAAAGTGATTTTGACCCACATCTGCTGTGCCTTCCCTTGGAGACAAGCCTGTCCACACCTTGGGTGTCATTCCTTTGCTTTTCTATGTGGTTTTCCCCACATCTACGAAAGTTCTAAGTAAGCCTGTGGTTTGCTTTTGCATTTCTGAACCTTAGATAAATGCTGTCGTGTGTGTGCATGTGCTGTGCTTTATTCTTTCACCACGATGTTACTCAGTTGTTGTTATTACCTGTGGCTTGTGGTGTAGGTTATTTACCACAAACAATACTTCTGTTTATCTGTGTCTTTCCTGGTGCACACGTACAAGAATCTCTTCTATTTGTGCCTAAGTGTGGCTGTGAGGAGCTGCAGGGGGTGGTTGGTCCTGCAAGCTAACAGCAAGTGCTCCCTGGGGTTGTGCAGTGTGCTTCCTGGCCAGCAGCACGCCGGGGCTGTGGTCCTCTTCGTGCATGTGGCCCTGAGAGCCGCACACGTAGAACGCAGATGGTCGTGTTCGGGAAACAGGTGGCTTTAAGAGTTATTCCCTTGAAGAGGGACTCCTTGATCATTTTTAAAATGTGTTTATTGAATTTCTACTGTGGATCTCAGGGTGCTGAAGGAAATAAAAATAAAAAAATAAAGATCCATCTACAACAGTGAAATGGTAAACCCTGTGGCTTGGATCTAGGCGTCCACGAATGGGGGTGGCAGTTTTGGACTGGTGGAGCGGCTGGGTCTGGCCCTGAAGGCAGGCAGGCCGCGAAAGCACATCTGGAGAAGCTTTGAGCCCAGGAACAGGAGTTTGCAGTAACCTTCAAAATTGGTAATTTTCAATATGAATTCACAAATCAACACACAGAACAGACTGGAGAGAAGACAGCGCCAATTCACCATTGGGTTGAGGGTGGAGGAGGATGGATGAGGGATTGTGTGGCGGCCCTGGGCCGCCTCCTCTACCACCTTCCCGCTGGTGCTGAGCGTGGAGACAGCTCAGCTCTGTCTCCTGATGACCGTACGTCACCGAACCTCTGTCAGTAGAGGTGCTTAGAGAAGAAGTGAGCAAGGGAGGGAAAGAGGGAGGGAAGGAGAAAGACAGAAGCCGGTGTAGGTGTCCTGCAGTGCCGCCAGGATCCCTTTTCTTCCTTCTGGTTGGAAGTGTGCGTGGACGGGAGTGCACGCCTGCTCTGAGTTGGCTGGCAGCGCTCCAGCTGTGGCCGTCCACCCTGTGAGCCTCGGACCGTCTCCTGCTGGGCACACCCAGTTTGTCCCGTAGGGCCGTGCGGTTCCTCTGCTTTTCCGTGTGTTGATAATGTGCAGTCTTCTAGTTTACACATAGTTACAGAAGAGAGAAATGATATTGCAAAGATATTCTTAGCTTATTTAATTAGGGAAGGAATCATAAACCTTTGTGAGGAGAAAGGTATTTGTATTTCAGACATCTCATTGATTTTTGTGATGTTGTTATGCTTGTGCTGAATGATAAAGCCCATGGTTCTCCCTTAAAAAAAAAATCTCTGCAGCTTAAAATGGAAATGTTTTAAAATATTATTGAGACCCTTTTCCCTTAGCCCCTATTCAGAAAGTTCATAATGAATCAAATACTGGATTTTCCCTTGCAACTTGTTATTTTAAGGCCATATTACTTTTTAAAAAATATTTTTTATTAAGCTCTTATTGATATACACTCTTATGAAGGTTTCACAAGAAAAAAACAATGTGGTTACTACATTTACCCATATTATCAAGTCCCCACCCATACCCCAATGCAGTCACTGTTCATCAGTGTAGTAAGATGCCACAGATTCACTGTTTGCCTTCTCTGTGCTATACTGTTTTCCCCGTGATCCCCCACACCGTGTGTACTAAACATAATACCCCTCAGTCCCCTTCTCTCTCCCTTTCCCACCCCTCCCCTTTGGTAAACACGAATCCCTTTTTGGAGTCTGTCAGTCTGCTGTTGTTTTGTTCCTTCAGTTTTGCTTTGTTATTATACTCCACAAATGAGGGAAATCGTTTGGCACTTGTCTTTCTCCACCTGGCTTACTTCACTGAGCATAAATAATATCCTCCAGCTCCATCCATGTTGCAAATAGTAGGATTTCTTTCTTTCTTATGGCTGAACAGTATTCCATTGTACCACATCTTTTTTATCCATTCATCTACTGATGAACACTTAGGTTGCTTCCCTATCTTGGCTATTGTAAATAGTGCTGCAATAAACATGCAGGTGCAAATGTCTTTTTGAGTCTGAGGAATTGTATTCTTTGGGTAAATTCCAAGGAGTGGGATTCCTGGGTCAAATGGTATTTCTATTTTTAGTTTTTTGAGGAACCTCCATATTGCTTTCCACAATGGTTGAACTAGCTTACATTCCCACCAGCAGTGTAGGAGGGGTCCCCCTTCTCCGCATTCTCACCGGCGTTTGTTCTTAGTCTTTTGGATACTGGCCATCCTTACTGGTGTGAGGTGGTATCTCATTGTGGTTTTAATTTGCATTTCCCTGGTGATTAGTGATGTGGAGCATCTTTTCATGTGCCTGTTGCCCATCTGAATTTCTTCTTTGGAGAACTGTCTCTTCATATCCTCTGCCCATTTTTTTAATCGGGTTACTTGCTTTTTAGGTGTGGGGGCATGTGAGTTCTTTATATATTTTGGATGTTAACCCCTTGTCGGATATGTCATTTATGAATATATTCTCCTATACTATAGGATGCCTTTTTGTTCTGTTGATGGTGTCCTTTGCCGTACAGAAACTTTTTAGTTTGATTTAGTCCCATGTGTTCATTTTTGCTTTTGTTTCCCTTGCTCGAGGAGATGCGTTCAGGAAGAAGTTGCTCATGTTTATTATATTCAGGAGATTTTTGCCTATGTTGTCTTCTAAGAGTTTTATGGCTTCATGACTTATATTCAGGTCTTTGATCCATTTCGAGTTTACTTTTGTGTGTGGGGTTAGACAGTGGTCCAGTTTCATTCTCTTGCATGTAGCTAAGACGAGCTAAGACAAGCTAAGACGAGCTGTTGAAGAGGCGGTCATTTCCCCATGTGTGGAGCGTGACGGGAATGCTCCTGTGGGGGCTTGAGGTCTGTTTGGCTTTCCCTTCGGTGAGTCGTGTCACCTGGTTTGTGCATTAGTACTGGTGATTCTTTTATTTAACCCCTGCTATTAATGTCCTTTTATATATAATCTCATTTTGCCAAGGTTTGATATATACAAGGGCTTGATGTTTACAAAAATATTTTTGCTAGATATTTTATGAAAACTTTGAGGTAGGGACTTGCCATTCATAGTCCTTTCCTTTTTCTTTTCTTTTCCTTTTCGTTTCATCCCATTCTGTTCCATTCTGAAGTCCTAGTAGTTAACACATGTTCACTGTGGCCAAGATGGTTAGAATTACTACTGATGGAGAAAAGAGAAGTCACTGCTTCTAACACTTGTAGCAGTACACGGTTAGTTCCCTATTATTTGAGTAAGTGGGGGAACTTTAATTCCTTCTAGTTTCTCTCTTTTTGTAAACCATTAACTAAGATAAGAAATTCTGTTTTTTCAAAACTTTAACAATGTGCAGTTCTTAGCTGTTTCACACTAAAACATGAAAAACATAAACTTGATGTTTGAAGTTTTCATTATTATTATTAGAACCAAAATAAAGTTAGACGGGGGAAGTATTTTGCTGTAATGTTGATGAGTGAGCCCTGCTTCTGTCACGTAGGAGTTTTATGAGAAGAAGCACGTATTGGAACTGTAAGAGCCTCACTCCTCATTTCTGAGTTGGGGCCAGTACTGTGCAGCTCAGTGAGGGTCGTAGCGGCCTGCGACACGTAAGGAGGCTGCGCCCTCTGCTAGGCAGGCAGCGGCCCTCCTGGAGTCAGAGGGTCTTGGGGCGAGCCACCCGTCAGGCCGCACGTCTGCTTGTCCTGGATGTGTTATCTGAGTCAGGAAGATTTGAACAAGTTGATGACTAGAAATATCATTACAGATGTTTTGTTATGTGACTAGGGTTTTTTAATCAGCCTGTAGTATTGACCCACTCAGGTATTTTCTACAAGATAAGCATATTGCTTTTTTATTTGTTATTTTCCACATACTTAGAACATTGAGTGATTTCTTTGTTTCTAGAGAGATACCGAATATCCCTTTGATTTTATCATTTATTTTTATTGCTTTTTGGCTTAGACTATTATTTCTCAACCTTTTCTTTATTACTATCTCTCAAGGAAGGAGCCTTTTTAGATAATTTTTCTTAATTACCCCTCCCCCGTGAAACTTAGTCCCACGGATACAGTGTATCTGTCCGTGTGTTGTGTGTACCTGTGCTTCATCCTTAAAAAGGGTGAGATTTTGTTACCCCTCTCTTCCAAAGAACCAATTTTCTCCTCTTGGAATGATACCACCCGTGCTCAGAATGCATGCATTGACCTTTAGACATGATGAGATTGTACAGGTCAATGGTTCAGAGCTTGGAGTGTGGTAGGTTGTCTCTGGAATGAATTCTGGCCTCTCCATTAATAAGCTGTGTGAACTTCGTCAGTTTCTCAAGCTTTCCTAACCTACTTTTTTATATCTGTAAAGTGGGAACGCTCATATTATTCTCATGAGGATTAAGTGAGAATTAAATGAGGTAGTTCATGCAATGTATTTAGCAATATTAATTGTTCAATATGTACCTATTATTATAATACTGATCACAGTTTCCATTCCATTTGAACTTAAGACTTAAAATATCTAGCTGTTCTCTTTTCTCATCATTAAAACTGACAGCTTTTGGAGAGAAAAATGTAAGCTCTAGTGGTAACATGAGACCAAATACCTACAGATCTTCTAGCTCCTAAAAAGCTAATCAGAAAGAACATTTCTTAGTGTGTGTGTGTAAGTATATGGAAAGTAGTAAAATCAATTTACAAGGCTGCTTGAACTATAGATTATCATTTCATTAAATAATTTTGGGTTTTATTTTTAGATATTTGATTTAATGGATGCCAAAGCACGTGCTGATTGTATCAAAGAGATAGATCTCCTTAAGGTAAGTGACGAACGACCTGGTGACCCCTTCGGACATAACCGAATGTCATGGAAGTGGTTCATTAAAATATCACACTTACAAACAAAAAAATTTTTAAGACTTATACCACATAATATAAATCTGATTTCAAGTAACATGTAAGTTTGAATCTCAGTGTATTGAAGAGTGTGCTTATCTTTTGGGTTCATTGTAAAATAATTGGAACATTTGGGCAGGACTAGCTTTTTTCCCATTTCAAACCAGGAAATAAAATGTGCTTAAAAGATGAAATTTTTTCTTGATCATCCCGATAACACGTACTCTAACAATCAAGTAATATGAATGCATATTGATATTATCTCAAGACGTGGTGCATCGGGGTGCAGACCGGTCCCAACACCCGCGTGCATGTACCGCGTCTCTGCCTTTCCCAGGCCTGGGAGGGCGGCCTGAAGAGTGCATCTTGGGCGGCTTCCCTGCTGCTCGGCTACCCAGAGAGAGTGGCAGAGATTTCAGCTCTCTCTGCATGCTTTTATTCTAGTAGCTTTCTTCTTATTCTGTGAGGAATATTGTGGCTTATGCTGCATTTTTAACTATTAGATAAGAGTTGGGTATTTTTGATACCATTTATTTTTGTTTGTGCCTAAAATGAAACAGATTTGTCCATTCATCAGAATGAACCATGCTTTCCAACTGCACTGTTAGTTGTAGATTTCCTGGGACATGAAGTGACCACTTTAAAAGTATACATAAACTTTGTAGAGAAATAATACATTGTCATAGAAGATGTGTATGTTTGGGTGCCTGTAGGCTGAAGGAAGAGAAGAAAATAGTGTATCTGTCCTCTGAGATGATCCTTGAGTAATTTTCTTTAAGATGCTATTTGTTTTATGTTAACTTGTTTAAAGGTTGAACAAAAAGACTGTAAATATGTATAGAATGATGCATATATACAAAAATGAAATATTCCTTGGGATGATTTTATAAATAAACCCCAAAGATAAGTTCAGTATATTTACATTATTTGATATAAAAACAATATCTAGGTAATGTAGGTTCAAAAAATTTTTTTCCTGTTGGCTGAATTATACTAGGATCAGGTCTAACTTCAAATTAGAAGTAAAAAGGAATTCTTTATTTACCACTGAATGCCCTTAAATGACAGTTCTCATTTTGAAGGGTAAAATTTTTAGCAGTTACTGACAATTCTGTCATTCATATATATGTACAGTATTTATTGACATAATACTTGAAAAATTTTAAGTGCATATACTCTATTATTTCTAATAAAGAATATAAAAATTGATTGCTATCTAGTTTCATTACCTTCAATATGTTTAAAAATTCACCTGGTAAAGAAAAATACATTGTCATATTAAGATTCCTGTAATTTAAAAATGAAATGCAGTCATTAAGTTTTTTTTGAGTAAAGAAACTGTAAGTGACTCTTGGGAAGGACAGTAAGGAAACTTGCTGACTCCTGCCTTTCTTCCTCAGCAACTCAACCACCCGAATGTAATTAAATATTATGCGTCATTCATTGAAGATAATGAGCTAAACATAGTTTTGGAATTAGCAGATGCTGGTGATCTATCCAGAATGATAAAGGTAAGTTAAAAAAAAACTTAAGATCAGTTTTTCTAGTAGAGTCGTCCATCAGGCATCCAGGCTTTACAGGCGTAAGGCTTCAGCACGAGGCTTCAGCATGCGGTGACACAGTGACGCGCGGCAGGCCGCTGGGGCCGTCGTGGTCGCGGGGCTGTTTCCCTGGGGTGGTGCCACCGCTCTCCTTGGATGTGTGAGCATCTGCAGGCGACCTGGGATCAGGCCCAGGAACCCGATGCTGTGAGCCGGACACGGGCAGCTCGATGACGAGCGGGCCGCCACTGATCCCGTGTGTTTGGAGTCCGGGGGGGCAGACTGAGGCAGCCCCACCTATTCCAGGGAGGGGCCGCTGAGGAAGAAAGGGGGCCTGCTATGCAGACCTTGCACGTCCAAGCCTTATTGACACTTAAAAGTCACTTCACTTTCTTTTCTAAGGGCTTATTAATTGGACTTAAGTTTGGCTGCAAGTTGTGGAAGCCCCCAAATAACAGTAGCCTAAAAACTGCTTGTCCTCAGGCAGGTTACTTAATTGCCACGTGCTCCATTTCCCCAAAACAAAACAATAATAGAACCTACTTCATAGAGTTGTTTTTAATAATTAATTGATACTTATTAAGAGCTTAGAACCGTGCTCACCTGTAGTAAGTCTATGTAAATGGAATCTTAGCTCTATTTTATTATTACCTGTATTTCTCTGTTACCTAAAATTCTGGGGCTAATGTGGCAGCTCTGATCTATCAAGTTCTCAGAGACCGAGCCTTCTTACAGCTGATGTGGTAGCATTCCTGGGGCACTTGATGGCTGCATCTTGAGGCACATCCCTGGATGCTGTCACAGTGTCTTGGCTTCTGCGCCTGCCGGAATTCAGCTGTATGAGCGCGTGTAGCCGCTCGGAGGCTGGAACATACAGTCTCGCGTTGCCAGCCATGTGCCGACCAAACCCCTCACTGGGGAAGACGGGCCGCACAGTGAGGAAAAGGTGAAGGCCCGTGAAGTGCGAACAGCCAAGGCCGTGTGCTCTGAGCTGGCTGAAGCACGGCGTCCAGCCACTGTCTCTGCTTGGCCGAGGCTCGCCAGCAGGCCCAGGAGTGGGGAGCAGGGGTGGCTGCAGGCGTCCTTGGTGGGAGGCTGTAGGTGAGCTGCTCATGTGACCAGCTGGGGATGCGTAGCCAGCATTCTGTGTCGGTCCTAGGTTGGCAGTGGGAACAAAAATCAGGGACGTGTCAGCTACTGATCGAGCCCTGGCCATTTGAGGCCGATGGTGCCAGAAGTCACTGTTCAGCTTCCTGGATGGTGGCCGGAGCCTGGCTCCTGTGGGTCTTACATGGTGGGCTGGCTTCCTGGGTTTTTGTTACATGGAAGAGGTTGGTTTCCTGGCCAGGTTGCTGAAGGTTGTGGCTCGAATTTCTATTTTTATGTGGTCTGGCCAGTGTCTGTTTGCCTGATCCTTCTTATAGCAGCTACTAGAGCACAGCTCGCCATCTCTGCTGCATCGGTCGGTGTAAGGGGTGTCTTAACACCATGCATGTAAAGCATTAGCAGGTTTACTCCTCACAAGAATTTGCAGAGGTAAATTAGACATTTGGAGAAGATAAACCTCGTCACTAGTAAACCGACCAGTGGTATTAGACCCTGAGCTCGCCTGTGTGTTTCCCATCAGTGGCCCTTCTTTGTATCACAGAACTCCTTTGAAAAACCAGATGAAAAGCCCTGGCCTTGTGCCCAGAAAATGTTGACGGGTGCCCCCGCGCCCCCTCACAAGCCTGCACAGTGTGCGTTCGTGTCAGCCACTCACACTCTGTCACGTGACTCCTCTTAGGCTTAGTTTCCTCATCTCTGGGGTGGAGACAGTTTTGAGATTACTTTCTAAATTACAAAAGCATGACATAAAGGGAAGGAGGCACCCTCGCTGCAGAGTGCCGCCTACAGGGCCGTTCCCGGTCCCCTGGTCGGATGACCCACGTTGGCTGCGTTGTCTCGTTTTCTGTCTCAGGGCTTCCTGCTGCTGGCACACTCGGCTAAACACCAGCAAAAGATGTCTTTGTAAATTAATGAGCAACAAAACACTGTAGTCTTAATTTCAAGAAGAATTGCAAATACACAAATGGAAAATTTTACAAAACAACTGTCTATTAAGATGAGACCTGTAAGACCAAATGTACAGAGTCCTTGCAGGAGAGACAGCTAGTAAAACTCTTGGCTTAGATGTCCAGGTGCAAGAGTCACTTGACTGCTTACAGTGGGAAGGAAACAAGCTGGGTCCTTTGCTTATGTTTTCTGCTGGGGTGTTTGCTCCTGCCCTGCTGTCTCCTTCTCCGCCACCGCAGCCCCACATGTACAGTTGCTGTGCCTGGCCAGCTGCCCAGGCTGAGGCCGGCCTGCACCTTTTTACCCTGGGGCCTCCCAGTCCTTTCAGAATGAGAACACCGAGGCAGAGATGCAGGGCCTTGAAGAGCCCTGTTGCCATCAGCAGATCCTGATTCCTCGGGCCAGTGAGGACGGGAAGACTGGCCAGTGTGACCTGACACTTACTGTGGTGATGGACTCTCCTCCTTAGTTAAGTGGATCTTGCCCTCAGCTCTCATCAAGGACATTTTTTATCAGCTGACCCAGTGGATACAGTGAGGTAGATTTAGAACCACAGAATCCCATGTTCAGTAACGAGTAATACTCACTGTTAGAGAATTGATAACTCTCTTTTAAAGTACCCGTGGGGCTTCTGACTAAAATTTGAAGGTGTCTGTCACATGAAAGACTATTTAGGAAACTTTTTAAAAGATAAAAGGTATCAACTCATTCTTAGTCACTTAAGCTTATAGAGCAACTTGATGTTTTGGAAGAATACTGAAGTGATGTGTCTGTGTTGCCTGCCACCCCTCCTCCCTCTGGAGTGGGCATTAGTGATCCTTGTCCCTCCTTATAGGGACCGTCAGCCTGCTTTGTCAAGGTACAAGGCGTTCCAGGTCAGGTCTCCCGCGTGCCCGGGGAGCTGTGCTAAGGCTGAGTGAGAGTCGTATCGTCAGACCTGTAGCTCTTAATGACTGTCTTGACATACTGGCTGTAACAAAGTTTAAGCAGTTTCACATGAGTGGAGCATCTTATATCCTGGCTGTGCATATGAATGTCTTCTGCTTTGTATTTCAGACTTGACCCAGCACTCAATTGTATTGAAAGAATAATTCAATAAAAAAAAAATATATATATACATACTTTACATTTAAATTATAAACTTAAACACATAATTTGTATTTAAATTATATACTTAATTATATAACTTGCATTTATATAAGTAATTCAATAAATAAAGTTGATTCAGTAATTATATTGAAAGAGAATAATAACTGTGGAGGCTCTGACACGTGTGAGGTCCCTCCTCCTCCTGGCCCTCCTTGTTCTGGGTAAATGCACGTTAATAGGACACACAGTCATGGCTTTTCTCTCCATTTGATTTAGTAAGCTTAGAGTTTATTTTATTTTCTTAATATAAAATGAAAGACCTTCTCTTCTGTTAGTTTTGTCAAGTGGTGAAGATCCTGAACTTCCCTACTGCATTCCCCAGAGATAACGACTGACTTTTATGTGTCATACAACCTCTCCCACTTCATTTTGTGTCTTTACACCCCCCCCATATTAAAGTACATACTGATACGTGTATTCTTTCTCAGACACATCACAAGGCATTTGATTATTGCTTTATTCCATAACCCTTGAGGAGCCCAGGCACCGCCCCTTGCACCTGTGTCTGTGTGCCGCGCGTGCTCTGTTTTGTGCATGGGTGTGAGCAGCAAACTGAGGAAGGGGCACGTGCACTGGTGCTGCCTGACTGCTCTCTAAATGGTTGTACCAATTTGTAGCTTCAGAAAAGCTCTTTAATTTATTCACTTATTGAAACACTTTCTCTGTGCCAGAAAAATGGTTTATGTCTTCTTACAACTCACGTCTAGTGGGAGAGAGAGGCATGTAACTAGTATTCATGTAACCAGTGTGACTTGAGGTGTAGGAAGCGTTAGGAAGGACTCGCCTAGGTTGTAACCGTGGTTCGCAGCAGCACAGCCGCGTCCCGACTGGCCTGCTGCTGGCAGCCAGAGTTGCAGTGGCAGTGCTGAGTGACCTTGATTCAATTATTCGACCTTGATTAAACTACAGTTTCTTTATCTATGAAATTGGATTAATAATACTTGTCTTATGAGGAGTAAAAAATACATGTTTGTTTATATGTTTATTTTTATAGACATGTATCAAATTTATGCACGTATGTGCATACATAGTTATATGTGCCTGTCTCCATGTAGGATACCTGTCTGATAGGTACTCAGATTTCTTTATTCCCCTTAAACATCTGATCACCGCTTTGCCCCACTTCTTGCATCACGCGTGTCTGCCACCCTTCCTCTTTACAGATGTCTCCATACCTCCTGTTTCACGGAGTAAGCAGAGGCCACCACAGGAACGCCTTACATTCCCCTGGCCAGACCTGCTAGGCCAGCTTGCACCTGTCGCCTCCTCCTGTTCCAGCCATGCTCCTTACTAGACGGGAGGGAGTTCTGTGTGTCCCTCCCCCGGGGTCCTCTCTCCTTCCTCTGCCTGGAGTTTCAGGGACTTGAAGGTCATCATTATCTCTTCTTAGTCCTGTATTCACGGCTGTAGTGCACCTTCTGAATACCTTCTATTAACATTTGGTATCGTCACTGTTACCTTAAATGTTACCGTACCCCAGGCACGCACGTGCCTCATTCACTGATGCACAGATTCATTCGAGAAGCTTGTCTCTAGTCAGGGAGAAGAAATAATAGGCACATGGAAAAAATAGCATGTCAGATGTTGAACTGCATCTTCCGATGTCATGTGTTGTAAGTTCAGAAGGAAAGTGAAGGATGGATGGTAGGGAGTTTGGAGGGGGGTTGCTGCCTAAAGAAGAGGATGACGGAGGACCCCCGCCGCCTCGTCCTTCACCGTCCTCATTCTGTCTTCTCCTCACAGACAGACTCTGTCCTGACGCAGCT